AAGCTTAATACTATTGTAGGGCCTAGCTAGGTTAGGCTTAGGCCTACTGCTGAACAACAGCTTGGGTAGCAATTGAGTCTGGAGGGCCTAGGCTAGTCAATTAACTCATAATTTACACTTTAAAGCCAGGCCCAAGAGGAAATCAAGATTTTTTACGTTGTCCAAGACAAATGATATTACAAGGGTGTTTGACGAGAAACATGGGAATGGTTATTGAGACACTGATTTCTTAATATTTACAAACTGGGGGAAGGGGGAAAAGGGGATTAAGCACCCTTTTTTACACCTACCCTTTTGACACCTTTCCTGAGCTTTTTGTCAAACGCCCTTTTAGTGTTGTAGAAAAATCATTTGTAAACAAATCAAAATTCTTCTATCCTCCCAAGCTGGGCTTTAACATGGATACAAGCCTTACTTGAAGTCATGTGGAACACACTCTAGGCCATGATGACACTTCATATGAATTAAATCGCATCCTTCACATGTGTATGAATAGAATATGACATACAACGGATGACCACAGTCCATTGCCATTACCACTGAAGCACAATAATTTTATCCCCAGGCTTAGACTGTATAGATGACAACAATATCTGTATTTGCATCATAATACAACCTTCGCATTTTCTATTTCACTAGTACAGATACATCATACATAATTGCATTAGGACGAACATACAGTGTACTAGCGTAGTTCGTACTAGATTTTTACATTCGTCAGCTGGACATATGCCAAAACCACAGTACTCAAGTAAGAAAGTATTCCTGATGATAACATGATTAATGATTGAAATATTGAATCTCAACACGATGGCGTGCATTTTAATACTTGGAATATGAATAGAATATGAATAGAGGGTGCCTTCGTTAATTTGCGGCGGCTACACGCGGGGTAAACAATGTTGTCTGAGGCCTGCAATTAGGCCTAGAGTTATGCGATTCAATATAATTTATTGTATATACGTAGAATCTATAAGTTGATAAAAATTATTAAATTTAATATTCAATTCAATAATAATTTTATTCCAATATCAAACAATACAATAATCAGCAAAAGAAATACAAGGGTAGTTGAAAAAGGAATAGGTTACAAAATAAGCAAGAAAATTGCTTTAAATATGTAACGGGTTACGGGTAGTTCCTGTAAAAAAAAAAAAAAAAAAAAAAAAAAAAATTAATTAATAAATACATAAAAAAAAAAAAAAGAAAAATTAATTAATAAATACATATAAACACAATATACAAAATTATAAAGAGTATAACATCAAGAAATAAAAAAAAATATATATATGGACCTATCATATAGTTAACATTTATTTTTATGTTTTTCTATAAGATACTGAGACAATTGCTTTTTAAATTTGCCTTGAGTCTAACTCTTTTAATTCATCATTTAAATTATTCCAAATTTTTGCCCCTTGATAAGGTATAGATTGTTGCCCTACACTTGTGCATTTTTTTAGGGCATATGTTATTTCGATTTATAGTGCTATAGTTATGGAATGATTCAAATGTCTTAAATAGGTTGTTAAATGATACAGGCAGTAGATTCTTATAATATTGGTACATAAATATGGCCCAGTTTTTTAAGTAAAGATCAAAAATATTTAATGTTTGAGTAATAATAAACAAAGGATGTGAAGGATGCAAGCGGTCAACATGACAAATATTTCTTAATGGCTTTTTTTGGAGTATGTACAAACGATTTAAATTACTAGCAGACGTGGTACCCCATGATGTAATTGCCTAAGTTAATCTAGGAAGTATAAGTGCATTGTTTGTTAACATTATTTTACTTGATAATATTGGTTTTACCTTGTTAAGAACACCAATGACCCTTGAAACATTCGTTGCAATTTCATTTACATGATAATTAAATGTCAGAGCTTCATCCAAAAAAAAGGCCTAAGAATTTGACTTCGGTTGCTCTTGCAATTGTTTCATTTCCAATTCTTAAATTTACGTTAAGAATTTACGTTAGAAGAATATAAATATATATACTAAAATACTAAATTATAATCGTTAGTAATTGTCAAGTATTATTTTAATATGGCCTAAAATGCTACATAATTATACTGTAAGGGACACACTTCTTGTATAATAAAAACAATAGGAATTAACAGCAAAAAACATTTTTAAAATAGCAATATCTCCGCTAATATTGGTCCAATTTACATAATTTTTGTTTTAAAATGCTTCAATCAGTTATGTCTTTCTATTAAAAATAAATAAAAAAATATTTGGGACATTTCAATTTTTTTTGGTTTCTAGTTACCTAGGGCCCTCCGGACTCAATGCCTACCCAATCTGTTGTTCAGCAGTAGGCCTAAGCCTAAACTAGCTAGGCCCTACAAAATTTAGTAGTAGGCCTAGTTAGTAGTAGCTGTTCATTTTGTATCAATTTCCAACTGGGCGGCTGGATGCAGGTAGCACGAAATCCATGATGATGCTAGGCTTAGCCTAGGTAGAGATACGCATCAACAACCCAAAACAGTGGCCATGGCCTGGGTAGAACGGCACACAACATCCATAAAGCCACAATTTACACAATCCGAAAAACCAACATCATTTTATGAGAAGCAGTCAGTTTACAAATACAAAACAAACCAAAGTGACAGCGAGTAACGCCTAGGCCAATTCGATCGGTATCTGGAGAGATCATTATCATCAAGCCTGCCAAACTAATCTTTTCAGGTCACCTCACAAATATATCAACGGCTTCTGCCAACCGGGCTTGCAACTTCGGTATGGTCTCTCACCATTACATCCACTAAGCGTCTGTATTCCATTCAAATGTGAATTAATAATAATAACAAATAATTCCTAAATAATTTTCAAAAATTGTATGTAAGCAATTAACGAAATTTACCATTCCAGGACTTCATGTTATCACTTTACCAAGTTACAAATTCCTTCACGTTTCATATACCAAACCTTATTTTAAAAGACAAGATTTTCGCTAGATGTCACCCCATCGCCAGAGGAGAATCCCTTTTCGAGAACCAAAATATGTCACATGACGTAAACATACATTGTAGAGGGCAGCATTACAAAAATCAATCATAATAATTATTATCGTACTACTGTTTACTATATTATTATTTTTTGTCTTTGTCAGAAATATTAAAATACAACATAAAAAAACAGAAAAGGGAGAGAATAATTCATTTTTTAGAATTAAAATCTAACTAGCATCCGGGAGGAGTACTCGAAATGACATGTTAAGCGCCATTTTTTTGTATGCTAGGAAGTTAAGCATGGGCCCAATGGGTTGTCAAAATACAGCACCCAATGGCAGATTCAAAGAAGGGGAGGGGGAAGCCGGACCAGGGCCCCTAAATTTTTTTCAAAATTATTATTTTTTTTTAAATTGAGAAAAAAAAGAAAATTATAGGCCTATCCAAATTTAAGTCCGAGACCGCCATTTTTGGCCGGCCATTTAGTGCCATATCATAAATTTTCTTACCTCAGCCAACCATGGTGGGGCTGACTGTATTAGAGAGAGCCACCCCGATCTTTCAAATCCCTCTCTGCCCCCTCCCCCTCCTATATTTCGAGTTCTTGGATCTGCCACTGTCCCTGAAAAAACACTAAGAGGACTGACAAGGCTGTCAACTAGGAGAAACTTTACTAATTTACTACGGTTGCTGCTCCGACGTATCGGTTTTCAAAAAAGTCTGTTTGTAACTCCAGACCCTCCACTCTCCCCTCACTGCCTCCTACCGGACAACCGGATAATCAGTGTAGTAGATGCAGTTTCAGTCTGACAAAACTATAGAGCTAGAAACACTGTGTCAATAAAATTTAAAAGGATTTAACGATCGAAAATGATCAATAAAACGATTTTGTGGCGGATCCAACATTCAAACAGGGGATACAATTACAAATTAGCTCAAAGTAGGTGGGATTACGTAGACTTCTTTGGTCGTCGGTTATTGTGGCATTATTATGTCAATAGACCTAGATTGTGACTCGTCTTTGTGTGGCAATGCCTCGATTGATCTTTGTAATTTCGAACCTTTATTATCTGACTAAATCAATATGTACTTTTATGCAGTTGTTTATTTATTTACCAGGAGAAGGCCCGTCTGGGAGAAACACAGGTAGTCGGGGAGAAATAAAATGTATATATGTATTTTCTACATATTAGTCGGACTAAAATCGATTTTATAAGCCTTTGAAACCCCTAAATTGCCATATTTTCGGGGCTTCTCCTCTAGAACATTGTTTTCGAGAGATTTTGAGCGACGCCCAACCACACCCACTTTTTTCGTTGGGCACATTGCCCCCCTCCCCACATGTCGAGGACAAATCCTGGCGCCACGCCTGAAAGTATAATTAGCATATTTTCGTTCTATTTTTTTTTGTTGAAAGTCAGTAGAGTACCATATAAAATTAATATAAATGTTAAGTTTTAAAAATCCCCTAATTTTTGTACATATAGAAGTAAAGAATTTAAAATTCAACGTTTTTTATAAGAGTAAACCAGGCTCAGGTGGAAAAAAATTTTTGATGTTGTGTAACTGATTTTTCAAAGACACAAAAAGCATATATGACGAAAAACTCGGAAGCAGTTTTTGAGATACATTCGAAAATCTGTATCTCATTAACCGCTTTCAAATTGTTAGTCAAATAGGCCTATACGTCAGGAAAATCAGTTGCACTTTAAGAAAGTATTCGCGCTCGCCCTATTAAGCAGCGAGCTAGCACGGTATGTATAATAAACCTATATTAGACAAGTGCTAAAAATAATGAAATGAAACAAAATATATTTGCAATCCTTAGTCCTTGAAATAATGACAATTTCTTGACAGATTGACCTCTGCAAACGTGAGCTAACGAAGCATAAATAATCCCATTAAGTGATAAAGAAGAAGAAAAAAAAAAGACATTGACATGTGATAAAACGGCTTTCCATACGGCCGGGAAAAGGGATTGGGGGCGCTTTATCCGACAACTCAGGGGAACACAAAACAACACAACCAAAGAGTATACTTTTTGACACAAGCAACGCGCTCCCGAACTCCCTGCCTCTCAAGTAGGGTTGCTGTTGCAGAACTTGATTTCAGTAACTCACACAAAACTTATAGATAAAATGGCAGAGTCGGATCTAATTATAAGAGCAGTTATTATTTATGCTATTGGAACACTAGTAGCTTTAAAAGTGATTAGTATGCTCTGGAGTATTTGCCATCGCAGAGTGTTCGCTTATGCGATTAGCCGTTTGTTCAGCTCAGGCGTGGAGGAGAGGATGACGGGTGAGTTCAAACGGCAGGTATTCGAGGACTTGCCAGATATGGCGAAGAGGCTAAAAGTAGATGGCCTAACAATCCTTGAAATTGGAATTGGATCTGGAGTTAATTTTAAATTTTATCCAAAGGGTAGCACTGTTTATCCATTAGATCCAAACCCACATTTTAACCAGTATCTAGAAGAGAATATAGAAAAAAATAAGCACGTGAATGTGAAACCGTTCGTTGAATGTTACGGTGAAGACATGACTGCCCAAGTTGCTGACAAATCTATTGATGTTGTAGTGTGTACAATGACTTTGTGTTCCGTGCTGGACATAGCAGCAGTCCTTCGTGAGATAAAGCGTGTCCTAAAATCTGTAAGTATCAGCGATCCCCCACCCCCAGCACCGCTCTTGAATAAGCGCCTGTTTCAAATAAGTGCCACACTCAAGCTTCAATTTTTTGCGTAAATCCTCAGAATACAATTGAGTCACTAGCGATGAAAATCCCTACCTGATGCATGACCTATCTTTGGAAACCACCAACATTGAAAAACATATTTTTAAAAATGTATGTTAAAGAAGTTTATTCTTATTTTTAATCAGCATGTTCATCCTCTTCAATTTCAGGGTGGCAAATTCTACTTTATCGAACATGTTGCCGCTGCGAAGGGCACATGGTTGTCTTTCTTCCAAGCAATTGCAACTCAAATTTGCAAACGTATCGCTGACAACTGTCATTGGAACCGAAAAACATGGGTGTACATCGACCGAGCAGGATTTACAACTGTTCAACACCGAATGCAGAGGAAATCTGTACATATCGTGCTTTATGGTTCAGCCACTAAGTAACACAACTTGTTTAAATTCCCAGTGGCGTATTCAAGGAACCCCAGCTGTCCTGCCCCTTCTCTCCCACCCTAATTTTTAACTATAAAAAAATGGAGAAAAAGAAATTTTATTCAAATTTAAGTTCGAGAGTACCAATTCCGCCCATCTTCTGGTGCCATTATCATAACATTTTTTTAATGCAGCCCCAATCATAGGGGGACTGAGGTGGTCTAGAGCCTCTTGTTAAAAACCCTCCCTCGGCACCCCCTATTTTGAATTCCTGGACCCGACACTGTCCCTGCAGTCAGTGGCATATGTAGAGGAGGGTTCAGGGGGCATGCACGCCCCCTAAAATATTACTCGCGTCACCCAGTCGGGCCCCCCCCCCCCGACAAAAAAATAAAATCACAGTCAAGTAGTTAAAAATCAACAAAAATCGCCATATTTTGCGAATTAGCGCCCCTCAACTGATCATCGAGCACACATCGCCTTCATGACCCCCATCAGCCCCTACCCCCAATTCAAGACTTCTAGATTCGCCACTGCCTGCAGTAGCTTACAACATTTGTGTTCAGGTTTTGCTTAACCCTGTAAGCAAGAGTAAATCTGGTAGGCAGGAATGATGGGATAAGTCAGGAGGTAAAGATAAAATGAAAAGCAAGTCTACGAAATATGATGCCATATTATACACTAAAGTTATCTATTGAATTGACAACAATTTCTATCTCTATGTGTTTTATACAGTACAGTATAGAATTTTTATTTTAATAAATGAATTGCTTTAAAATGGCACATCTACTGTATGTACTTGCTCCCATTTAATTTAAGTTCATTTTACAGGCACATAATCATATATATATATATCA